AGTCGCTTGAGCCAGGAGTTGAGGTTGCTGTGAGGCTAGGCTGATGCCATGGCACTCACTCTAGCCTGGGCACAAAGTGAACTGCTCAAAAAAAAAAAAAAAATTAAACCTGCAACTACCATGTGACCCAGAATTGACTCCTAGGCATTGCTCATTTCAAAGAAATGAAAACTATGTCCACATAAAACCTGTACAAGAATGTACATAGGAGCTTTCTTCATAATAGCTCAAAACTGGTAACAACACAGATGTCCTTTCACAGGTGAATGGTTAAACAAACTATAGCATATCCATACTCTAGATGACTACTACTTAGCATTAAAAGACCTACTCTTGCAGGAAACAAACTGGATTAATCTCAGAAATTATGCTAAATGTAAATAAAAAGCCTGTTTCCAAAGGCTTACATACTATTTGATTCCTGAAATGACAAAATTTAGAAATAAAGATTAGTGATTGCCAAGGAGGTAGTAGGGGGAAAGAGGACACTGTGGCTGTAAAGTCTCCAGGAGGGTAACTGTAGTGATGGAATTGTTCTGTCTTTGATTGTATCAATGTCAATATCTTGGGTGTGACTCTCAGTCAAGTTTATAACACGGTCCACTGGAGGAGACTGGTGAAGGGTACGTGAAATCTCTGTATTATTTCTTAAAACTGCATGTGAATTACAACTTTTCTCAAATAAAAACTATAATTTTAAAAATACAGTACTCCCAGTTAAATTTGAATTTCAGATAAAACATATAGCATCTTTTAGTAATAAGTTCCAACATTGCATGGGTCATACTGTTATTAAAACAATGGTGGTTTATCTGAAATTCAAACTTAACTGAGGATCTGTATTTTATTGGCAGTACTACTCTTAGCAATTTGCAAGCACATATTGCAAAAAAAGCATGTATAAGGGTTGGCTGAGAGAAAATGTGCTCCTGCTGCCAAAGTGCCTACATCCTCAACTTTCTTTTTTTAAGGGTATACATGTGTTTATTTACTATTTTCAACTTTTCTGTAGGTTTGACATTTTTCTTTTTTTGTTCTTTTATTTTTATTTAGCATTATTTGGGTATAAGTATTAAGTTACAATATATTGCCATGCCCTAAACCCTCATTCTCAGCAATTGGCACACACACTGCCTCACATTTCAACATGACACATGTGCCCACTACTCCCATGAGAAAGGCCACATAGAGTTGAACCCATCTTGTTTCATACAAATGAAAATCATCCAGTCTCCCCTTCAATTTCAGAGTTAAATATCAACTTTTTTTAACCTGCGTAATTGACAGTTTATTACATTAACCAACGAAGAATATTTTCTTTCTGTTTTTTTTTTTTTTTTTTTTTGAGACAAGTTCATCTGTTGCCTGGGCTAGAGTGCCATGGCATCCGCCTAGCTCACAGCAACCTCAAACCCTGGCTCAAGAATCCTTCTGCTCTAGCCTCAAAGTAGCTGGACTACAGGCATGTACCACCATGCCTGGCTAATTTTTAAAAAAAATAATATATAATTAGATTGTCAGTTAATTTCTTTATTTTTAGTAGAGAGGAGGTCTTACTCTGCTCAGGCGCTGGTTTCAATCTGACTTCCTACACAACATCCTTCTCGCTCGGCCTCCCAAGAGTGCTAGTTTACAGGCGTGAGCCACCATACCAGCTAAAGAACTATTTTCAAAACATTTTTTAGGCCGGCGCAGGTGCGCTCACGCCTGTAATCCAGCCATCTCCGGAGGCCGAGGCGGGCGATTGCTCGAGGTCAGTTTGAACCAGCCTGAGCAAGAGCAAGACCCGTCTCTATATAATACAAAGAAATTAATTGGCCAACTAATATATAGAAAAATCAGCCCGGGCACGGTGGCACATGCCTGTAGTCCCAGCTACTTGGGAGGCTGACGCAAGGAGGACTCGCTGAGCCCAGGAGTTTGAGGTTGCTGTGAGCTAGGCTGACGCCACGGCACTCACTCTAGCCTGGGCAACAAAGTGAGACCCTGTCTCAAAAAAAAAAAACAACACTATTTTTGAAAGCATTTAAAAGAATTCTGTACCAACATGTAGAGACATATATCCCCTAGATATTTCATTAGGGCTCATTTGTTTAAATATTTATATTGGCATTTATATTTAAAACAATGATGCTTATTATAAAGAAAACATAGTTACATTTATCATGCCAGGTCTTTAACTTTATTCAAGATTTTAACAAAATGATCCCCAAAGTAATATAAATGTAGACACTTTTAAAAGTCCAGATATGAAATTTCAAGAAAATTCTGAATTCAGTCTGAAGTCAATATTAAACCAAAAGTTGAACCAACTCTACAAATCATAAATTCTATTTTCCTTCTTAAGTTCATTATATTTTCTGAGTCAAGTTACCAACTTAGTTAACTTTCTTTGATATTGGTATTTGAAATCATTTTAACATGGTTTAACATCTTTAAATTCTAAGTGTGTACTTATCCTGAATATTCTTATTATAATTAAAAATATAAATCCAGAAGCAACACCTCTTCTTTAAAGAAGAATTTCAATTAATAAATGTAGAAGGAATCAGAGAAATAGAAAATCACCATTAGAACACCACAGTAGTAACTGCCACAAGCAAGATCTGCCAAGGGATAATAAAATGGCTGGGCAAAAGTTTAAGCAGAAACAGGACATTTGCATAGTCTCCAAGTATCTCCAGCAAATATTTAGTAATTACAAGGAAAACACAGTAAGTTTACAGTAGAGAATCCTAGCAGACACCAGCCAAGCATAGTGATCAAGGTTAACAATACCAGAAATACATTGCATTAGGTATCCCCTGTTTTGATACACTGTCACAGAATAGAGGACACAAAAGAGACATGACAACTAAATGCAAGGAGGGGATCCTGGATTGGATCCTGGAATAGTAAAAGGATATCAGTCAAAAGACTAATAAAATCTCTACTTTTTAAATTCTCTACTTCAGTTAATAGTATTGTATCAAGGTTAATTTCTTAATTTTGACAAATATTCTATAGTTATGCAAGACGTTAACACAAGGAGAAGGTGGGTGGAGGATACATGAGAACTCTGTACTATTTTTACAACTCTTCTGTAAGTCTAGAATTATCTCAAAAACTTTTAAAAAACTGTTTAAAAGCATACACACATATATGTATATATGTACATAACATGGGTACATATATCTATAAATCAAGATGTCATGGAAATTGGCATCTTGGGGCACTCAGTAAAATAGTAGTGTTCTCTTCTGAATTACTCATTGTCTCACTGGTAACTTAGTTTTAAAGTCCTCCCTCTTCTATATTTTTAGTCTCAAGTATAATTTTCTAATTTTCATAGAAAAGCCTTTTTTAACATTCCATATTAGGCCAAAAATTAAAATCCAAGAATAAATTTGCCACTATATTATCTGGCAGAATCACTCATCCCAACCATAAGACCCAGCCAATATTTTTACTACATTTCCTCTCATCTAGTATGTTTGTACTGATTTGGTTTTGTTTATGAGGAATGAGACAGATGATAGATTTAGTATCACTAATAGGCCTGGCAGTCTAGGAAAAAAAAACAAAAAAACACTTGGCTATCTTATGAAGAAACAGTTGTTTTTCTAAGAACAGATACTGTATACTAGAACTCACCTCAGATGTAAAAAGTAAGTTATGTACCTAAGTCTCTTCTACTACCCACCAAGGCTAGGTAAGACCCTTTCAATATCCCTTCCATAAATTTGGCTCTAAAATGACTGTTAATAATGGTAAAAACATCTTTTTATGAAACAGGCATTTCTATATATGCAATTTACTCTACAGAAATAAAGATAAACATCAAATCTACCTTTAAAAGAAGAAAATAATTTCCCACTCTAGCTATGGCTGATTCATTCCCTGAGCATGAATACCCTTTAACCCTCATTGTTTTTAACTATAAACTGAGCTGAAATCTGCTCATAGGGATCTTGATGGTGAAACTAATCTTAGATGGAGAATGGTATTACAAATAATTATATCTGTTACTTTTGTACTCATTATTTCTACTCACTGTGGCATTTAAAGTTTCATCTACTATCTATCACAATGCTCTCTATGGAAGCAGCAATAGTGAAAAGATAATTACACTTTGTTTAAAAAAACAGATAATTTAAAAATGGATCTTTATCCAAATACAATAAAAAAGCAAAGAAGTAAAATGTCTACAAACATTTTCATTCTGTGTCAATGACATTTCCAAATTCGCTGTCCACTACCACCATGAAAAGCAAAAGTGGTAAAAACAATCTATACAACACGGGAGACAAACAATTTACCTCAGGAACTCATTACACATTGCAATATATTCAAATGGTGAAAAGATATAAATTCATTCAGAATTGCCACACTATCAGGCTGTCAATATAGTCTCTTGAATAATTATATTAAACATATTACTACAAAATGTACCAAGAAGTAGAGAATACTATATTTGTGAACTGCAAGTAACAAAACAAAACAAGTCCAATAGTCTAAAGTCTAAGCTGTAATTTACACATGAAAGGTATGCTGAAAGCAGTCACAATGTACAAAAATGTGACAAGTAATCCAGATGTTAAAAAAAAAAAAAAACAGATCCTGTTTGTCTCAGATTATAGCCAGTCTCATCTGGTAGGTTTCTATTAAGCCTGTTACATAAAGTGTATTTCCCTCCTGCTGATAAGAAGCAGCTTGCAGATATCCATAAATTTCTTAAAGAGTGAGTCTACTTGGCAATACTGTTAGCTCCATAGTTTCCTATTACATTCATTCGTCTGAAAACTGAAAGCAACTTCATAACTAAAATGTTTTTCCATTCCTTTATCAATTTTTTCAAATTTTAAATCAAAGGAAAGTTGGAATGTATTGCTTCTTGTCATCAACAGGCATTTAGAAAAGAGGGTAATTAACCAAAATCAAGAGTTCTTTGGTCAAGTTAGTAACAGGCTTCCACTTTGTTCTAAATCCTTTCATAATCCTTTTTTTTCTAATTTTTCCAGTATGGCCTGGATCTTACAAACAGCCTCTTTCCGCGCCTGCCGGACAGAGTCCTGGCCCCCAGTTTCAACTGAATCCAGTTCCAAAAGTTCCTTGGTTAGCATTTCTTCCAGAAGCCAGTAAGCTTTGTCTGTCTTTTTTCCTACGAACTCTTCTACTTCTTGTTCGAGATACTGTACCTTTTCCAGCACATGTATGATTTTTTTAATACTTGGGGGAGTACCGTCATCTGAAGATAAGCACTCTTCAGGAACATTATTACTTTGATCTTGATTGCTGGGATGTTCGTTGGTGGTGTTAACATACAGCTGAGGCTCAGCACTATACTGGACTTGGGAATCCGAAAGATCTGAATTATCATTGTTCGCTGTCCCCGAGGATTCGTACTGATGGACACTGCAAGGGAAGTTGTGCTGGTTCATGCCTTGATCTGATTGGCTATAGGGGTATGAGGAATCCTTGGAGAGGAGAGCAAAAAGGGGGGAAAAGCTGTTTTAATGGGAATCCATTAACATCAGATTTGTTAGCCCACATCTTTCACCTGACCTGGAAGGGACATGAAAAATTCCCCACCAATAAAACTGGACCTCCCTCCTTAATCATTTGAGAAAAACACAGTCCTAAGAAGATAAAAGGGAGTGCTCTGTCGAGCAAAAGGCAGGGAATTCCTGAGGCAGGTCGTCATCACGAGCACCTCACAATCTATCCTCACCACCTCACAATTCATCCAGTGACTTAATCAATAAGAATTAGATGGCTTTCCCCTGGTGAAAACCTCAAGACAGATCCTGAAAAGGAAAACAGCCACAGCAGATGATTTTCAAGCTATGGTTTTATATACAAGCTAATATTGCAAATATTTCACATTAGCTTTGTCTTCTGTCTATAGATTATTTGAGGTAGTAAAATACAATCTTTGTATTTAACATACTATTTCAACTTTTCTGTAGGTTGACATTTTTCTTTTGTTCTTGTTTATTTTTTAGCATATTATGGGGGTATAAGTATTAAGGTACAATATTTCCCATGCCTAAATCCTCATTCTCAGCAATTGGCACACACACTGCCTCACATTTCAACATGACACATGTGCCCACTACCCCATGAGAAGGCACATAGAGTGTGAACCATCTTGTTTCATACAAGATGAAATTATCCAGTCTCCCCTTCCCAATTTCAGAGTTAAAATATCAACTTTTTTTAACCTGCCTAACTTTGACAGTATTATTTACATTAACCAACTGAAGAACTATTTTCTTTTCTTTTTTTTTTTTTTTTGAGACAGAGTCTCACCTGTTGCCTGGGCTAGAGTGCCATGGCATCAAGCCTAGCTCACAGCAACCTCCAACTCCTGGGCTCAAGAAATCCTTCTGTCTCAGCCTCCAAGTAGCTGGACTACACGATGTACCACCATCGTGTAATTTTTAAAATAATATATATATATATTTATGTCCAGTTAATTTCTTTCTATTTAGTAGAGAGGAGGTCTTACTCTTGCTCAGGCTGGTTTCACCCCTGACCTTTAACAATCCTTCTGCCTGGCCTCCCAGAGTGCTAGGTTTACAGCGTGAGCCACCATACCCAGCCTAAAGAACTATTTTCAAAACACTATTTTTAGGCCGGCGCGGTGGCTCACGCCGTAAATCTAGCACTCCGAGGCCGAGGCGGGCGGATTGCTAAGTCAGGAGTTAGAAACCAGCCTGAGCAAGAGCAAGACCCGTCTCTACTATAAATACAAAGAATTAATTGGCCAACTAATATATATGAAAAAACACCACAGGTGGCACATGCCTGTAGTCCAGCTACTGGAGCTCGAGGCAGGAGGACTGCTTGAGCCCAGGAGTTTGAGCCTGGAGCTAGCTGACGCCACGGCACTCACTCTAGCCTGGCAACAAAGTGACACGTCTCAAAAAAAAAAAACACTATATTTGAAAGCATTTAAAAGATTCGTGACCAACATGTAGAACATATATCCCTAGATATTTCATTAGGGCTCATATAATAAATTAATATTGGCATTTATATAACAATGATGCTTATTATAAAGAAACATAGTTGCATTTATCAATCCAGGTCTTTACTTATTCAAGATTTTAACAAATGATCCCCAAAGTAATTATGTAGACACTTTTAAAAGATAGAAATTCAAGAAAATTCTGAATTCAGTCTGAACAATATTAAACCAAAAGTTGAACCAACTCTACAATCATAAATTTTTTTCCTAAGTTCATTAATTTTCTGAGTCAGTTACCAACTTAGTTAACTTTCTTTGATATTGGTATTGGAACATTTAACATGGTTTAACATCTTTAAATTCTAAGTGTGTACTTATCCTGAAATTTCTTATTATAATTAAAAATATAAATCCAGAAGCAACACCTCTTCTTTAAAGAAGAATATTAATAAATGTAGAAGGAATCAGAGAAATGAAATCACCATTAGACACACACAAGTAAACTGCCACAAGCAAGATCTGCCAAGGGATAATAAATGGCTGGGCAAAAGTTTAAGCAGAAACAGGACATTTGCATAGTTCCAAGTATCTCCAGCAAATATTGATTACAAGGAAAACACAGTAAGTTTACAGTAGAGAATCCTAGCAGACACCAGCCAAGAGCAATGATCAAGTACAAATACCAGAAATACATGCATTAGGTATCCCCTGTTTGATACACTGTCACAGAATAGAGGACACAAAGAGACATGACAATAAATGCAAAGGAGGATCCTGGATGGATCCGACAAGTAAAAGGATATCAGTCAAAAGACAATAAAATCTCTACTTTTTAAATTCTCTACTTCAGTTAATAGTATATTAACAAGTTATTCTTAATTTTGACAAATATTCTATAGTTATGCAAGACGTTAACACAAGGAGAAGGTGGGGAGGATACATGAGAACTCTGTACTATTTTTACAACTCTTTCTGTAAGTCTAGAATTATCTCAAAACTTTAAAAAACTGTTTAAACATACACACATATATGTAATAATGTACATAACATGGTACATATATCTATAAATCAAGATGTCAATGGAAATTGGCATCTTGGGCACTCAGTAAAATAGTAGGTGTTCTCTCTGAATACTCATTGTCTCACTGGTAATTATTTAAACCCTCTCTAATATTTTAGTCTCAAGTATAATTTTCTAATTTTCATAGAAACCTTTTTTAACATTCCATATTAGCCAAAAATTAAATCCAAGAATAAATTTGCCACTATATTATCTGGCAGAATCACTCATCCCAACCATAAAAAAAAAAAAAAATTAAACCTGCAACTACCATGTGACCCAGAATTGCACTCCTAGGCATTACTTCATTTCAAAAGAAATGAAAACTATGTCCACATAAAAACCTGTACAAGAATGTACATAGGAGCTTTCTTCATAATAGCTCAAAACTGGTAACAACACAGATGTCCTTTCACAGGTGAATGGTTAAACAAACTATAGCATATCCATACTCTAGATGACTACTACTTAGCAATTAAAAAGACCTACTCTTGCAGGAAACAAACTGGATTAATCTCAAAGAATTATGCTAAATGTAAAATAAAAAGCCTGTTTCCAAAGGCTTACATACTATTTGATTCCTGAAATGACACAATTTAGAAATAAAGATTAGTGATTGCCAAGGAGGTAGTATGGGGGGAAAGAGGACACTTGTGGCTGTAAAAGTCTCCAGGAGGGGTAACTGTAGTGATGGAATTGTTCTGTCCTTTGATTGTATCAATGTCAATATCTTGGGTGTGACTCTGCAGTCAAGTTTATAACACGGTCCCACTGGAGGAGACTGGGTGAAGGGTACGTGAAATCTCTGTATTATTTCTTAAAACTGCATGTGAATCTACACTTTTCTCAAAATAAAAACTATAATTTTAAAAATACAGTACTCCCAGTTAAATTTGAATTTCAGATAAACAATATAGCATCTTTTAGTATAAGTTCCAAACATTGCATGGGTCATACTGTTATTAAAACAATGGTGGTTTATCTGAAATTCAAACTTAACTGAGGATCTGTATTTTATTTGGCAGTACTACTCTTAGCCAATTTTGCAAGCACATATTGCAAAATAAAAGGATGTATAAGGGTTGGCTGAGAGAAAATGTGCTCTGCTGCCAAAAGTGCCTAAATCCTCATTCTTTTTTTTTTAAGGGTATACATGTGTTTATTTTACTATTTTTCAACTTTTCTGTAGGTTTGACATTTTTCTTTTTTTGTTCTTTTTTATTTTATTTTAGCATATTATGGGGGTATAAGTATTAAGGTTACATATATTGCCCATGCCCTAAATCCTCATTCTCAGCAATTGGCACACACACTGCCTCACATTTCAACATGACACATGTGCCCACTACTCCCATGAGAAAGGCCACATAGAGTGTGAAACCATCTTGTTTTCATACAAGAGTGAAAATTATCCAGTCTCCCCTTCCCAATTTCAGAGTTAAAATATCAACTTTTTTTAACCTGCCTAACTTTGACAGTATTATTTACATTAACCAACTGAAGAACTATTTTCTTTTTTTTTTTTTTTTTTTTTTTTGAGACAGAGTCTCACTCTGTTGCCTGGGCTAGAGTGCCATGGCATCAGCCTAGCTCAAGAGAACTCAAACTCCTGGCTCAGAAATCCTTCTGTCTCAGCCTCCAAGTAGCTGGACTACAGGCATGTACCACCATCTGGCTAATTTTTAAAAAATATATTATATTTTTAGTTGTCCAGTTAATTTCTTTCTATTTTTAGTAGAGAGGAGGTCTTACTCTTGCTCAGGCTGGTTTCAAACTCCTGACCTTGAACAATCCTTCTGCCTCGGCCTCCCAGAGTGCTAGGTTTACAGGCGTGAGCCACCATACCCAGCCTAAAGAACTATTTTCAAAACACTATTTTTAGGCCGGCGCGGTGGCTCACGCTGTAATCTAGCACTCCGGGAGCCCGAGGCGGGCGGATTGCTAGAGGTCAGGAGTTTGAAACCAGCCTGAGCAAGAGCAGACCCCGTCTCTACTATAAATAACAAAGAATTAATTGGCCAACTAATATATATAAGAAAAATCGCCGGGCACGGTGGCACATGCCTGTAGTCCCAGC